ATTAGCACAAAAATGACCCTGGGAGTCGAACTTTTGACCTTGTTTCGGCCGGTCTCTTGCCCGAAGGAAAAGAGGAGCACGACATGGGACTTTGACTTTTTCTCAGAGGGGAAAGCAAGTAAAGAATCTTGCAGGGAGATGCGCTCTCAAAAAATATATGTTCCAAAATAACCATGTAACTTTTTAATTACTAAAACGCATGTAATATATTTACTTACGAGAAGAATATTGAACTTGCGGCACTGGGTAATTATAAACGGGAGTACTAACATTTTAAAATTATAAAACCTTAAAAATGCAATTTATGTAAAAAAAAAGAGTAATTTGAAGGATTAAAAGCTGGGATAACAAAATTTCTAACATTTCTAATTTCTTAATTACCTTATATTTTTTATTGTTGGTTGTAGTTATTAATAGAAAAAAGAATTAATCAAACGGGTAAAATTTCCAACACACAAAAATACTAAAAAATAAAAATTTCTCCACCGACTTGTTTTGTATTGAATAAACAACCATAACAAAGATACGAATATAATGTTCAATTATAACAACAACAAAATATGAATATGAATGGGAATGATGGAACGAGAAACCCAGACAAATTAATATTTTTTTCTTTTGCTCTAATCATGCTAAATATACGTACATTATGTATTCATTGTATTATTAAAAAATAAAATAAAATCAATTTGACTCTCTTTACAATGATTCATAATATGAATATTTTGTGAAAAAAATTAGTTTAAAAAGTAGGAAGTCAGAAAGTTGGAAAAAAAATGATAAAACCTATTCTACATTGGTCTGGATGAACCCATTTTCACACTTTTCCTAGAAAAATAGTGTCTATTGATTTTCCCAAAGGCACGTCTCCCTTCAACATCCCTGGGGCAGAAGGCCCAATATATTCGAGCGAGGATTACACATTCGCATATAAAAAACGAAACCCCCGAGGAGGCTGGCATGGATATTCTGGCGCTTGCTGACCAGGACCCAATCATCGCGAGCCGCCATGACAGCGAGCGTCGCAATTTTTGTTCTCGTCGTTGTTTACTGCGGCGGACGCAGAAAAGGAGAGCAAAGTTGCCTCTTTTGTTTACATATTGCCGAGCAAGCGAATTTTTCAAGAGCGGCCTCCCTTCGCATTTTCACAAGAGAGCTGCGCCACATCCTTATATGTACATGGTGGCATGAATATTTGGCAAAAGCCGGCGCTGTTTTAGCATTCAAATTTGATGCAAATCAAGTTATGCGGATCTTTGGCATCCACACGTCGAATTGTATCATGTTCTGCCTGTCAGGAAGTGAGTGTTGTGCGAAGATGAGAGGCCCTTTGTTTCAACAGGCCAGAGGGCACGTTATTATGTGTTTCTCTCTGGAGCTCAATTTTGTTTCAAGGCAATTAAATCTTGAGCTATTAGCTCTTTTCAGGTCAAAAGGTAATTAAAATTGTCAGTTCAAAATAAGTATTAAAAAAAAACTTTGTTGTCGTTGCAGTATTCATGGATTGATTTGTAAAAATGTCTTGCCATTTTTACAAAAAATGAGTGGAAATTTGTGTAAAATACATCAAAATGTTGTTTTATATTTTAGAATCAAATTTGTTCCTCTCAATTAGGCAGAGAAGTTAAAATCAAGTACTTCTGACGCCCAAAGTTCTAATGGTGAGTGTGCTTTCCTCAAATTTCCATATTTCAGTGCCATTTTGGTGTAATTTCCTCACGAGTTGGCCGAGAGTTTAATTAGCGGCAGTGGCAACCCTGTGAAGTTTGCAGCAAACCACATGTTTTGCGGTCTAAAAACGATCTTTCTGGGCGAAGTGTTTTATTAATTTTTGCGGCGCCTGCACGATCACAAAGCAATGCGTGGTGCAAACTGGCAGCCGAAATGCCACACGCGCGCACCAGCCTAAAAGTTTTCACCATAATTTTAATAATAACGGTCGCCGCAGAGAGATACACGCATGTGATACAAACAGAAACTTTTCCTCTCGACTTTCTGTCTGTGCTGTAGAGCGAAAAAACAAGGAGGAAAAAATCAGCCTGGTGATATTTTGTATTACACACTCGAGGAGGAGGACGAAATATATACAGGCGACGTAGATGGCTCGGAGCGGAAAACACAATTTCATCCTCTCAAACCGCCATCTAAAATGTCAAGTGGCTTAATAAAAATACCCAGCCATAACCGAGATTGGCAGTGCCGAGCTAGAAAGAGGCTTTTCCCCATAGTTCTTTCCCTAATACGAAATATAATGGCGCCGCCGAAAAACGTGGAGGAGAGAAAATCGAGAGGGCTTGACGTTGATTTCGCACGACCACAAAATTTATTGCACCCTCCGCCAAATGTTTGCATCAAAATAATGAGGGTTCGTCAAACATTCAATATCGAGTTCAGTTTTAATGCACTTCCACCTCATAGAACGGCGATCGAGTGCTTCAGTCTGATGCCAAGCCCATGAAACCTGATTTGTTTGCGAATATAAAAATGCAACCCGAAGCGCGATCAGATCGTTTTTCATTACGGATGTTAAAATCAATGGCCGAGAGAAAATATGCGCGGCCACGGAAATTCAAATGGAGCGAAGAAGACACTGGATGGATTTTTATCTATAGATGGAGATAAAAAAATATTTATATCTATAAATTTTGCTATCAATTTTATGTGAAATATGCTGATTTTTTTCAGGAATGCGTTTTCAACAAGACTCATTTCAAATTTCCATTATGAAGATTTGATTTTGAAAAAAATTAAAAATAGGCAAAATCTATGGTTTAAATCAAAATAAGAGTGAGCACCTAAGTAATTTAACTTAATTTGCTAATTTAAAATAATCATTGCACTTTGAGGAGATTCAAAATGGAATTGGGTAATAATAAGAACAAGGTAAAAGATCAGAAAATTTAAAAGGCAAGCGATTGAATACATAATTAATGAAGATCATTGTATAATAATTTAATTTATAATGACTTTATCTGTAAAAAAAATATTTTCCCACATGTCTGTCAATAAACACAAAGAAGTAACATTTTTTTAGAGAGAACACCCTTTAAGTGCAGTGGTTACAAATTAAAATTTGTATTGTCTGATTCTTTCTGTTTTCACATACCCCGCCCAAAGTTGAAGATATCATTATGAGATTTTCACCACTTCACCATCTTAGTTTGGAAGCGACTTTCCTAAATTTTTGACTGAAAATTTTCAAAATTGCGGGTTTTGCGGGACATTTTGGAAAAACAAAAAAACGTGATTATCTCAGCTTCTAGTGGTCGTAGAACAATTTTCCGGGTACGGCTGAACTCGTCTCAGCAAGATTTACAACTTTGATGTTGAGCGTAAATTTTTAGGTCAAAGGTCAAGGTCATTTTTGGTGACCCGAAATTTTCAAACTCAAATTTGGAAATGTGCTGCATGATGAAAATCATTTTTGAGATTGCCATTCGATTCATCATGAAATTTTACATAATATATGTCAAAATTGCGATGTTGATATTTTTAGTTTAATTTAAATAAAAATAAGAATATTAAAAAATGTGGTTTTTCGCACCTCGGCAGGCAGTGTCAACAATATAATCGTCTGTAACTTTTGTTCTGATGATTTTAGGTACAAAAGAGTAATGACCAATGTTAATCTCCACTTCAAGACCAATCGATTGGTGTGTATGTCAATGACCTTTGGTGACCTTGAGGTCAAAGGTCACTCAGGTCGGTGACCTGGGGTCACGCGACTTAAATGTGTGATACGTACTTAGAAAGGTCTTGTCAAGAGGATAATTTTAGTCACCAAATTTTTTACTTTACGTCTACTATAAAGCAAGTAATCTCTAATTTCCAAAACATTTCACGCAAAATACTGCATTTAATTAGGAAAAATTATAATTATTCGATTTGTAGTAGACGTAAAGTAAAAAATTTGGTGACTAAAATTATCCTCTTGACAAGACCTTTCTAAGTACGTATCACACATTTAAGTCGCGTGACCCCAGGTCACCGACCTGAGTGACCTTTGACCTCAAGGTCACCAAAGGTCATTGACATACACACCAATCGATTGGTCTTGAAGTGGAGATTAACATTGGTCATTACTCTTTTGTACCTAAAATCATCAGAACAAAAGTTACAGACGATTATATTGTTGACACTGCCTGCCGAGGTGCGAAAAACCACATTTTTTAATATTCTTATTTTTATTTAAATTAAACTAAAAATATCAACATCGCAATTTTGACATATATTATGTAAAATTTCATGATGAATCGAATGGCAATCTCAAAAATGATTTTCATCATGCAGCACATTTCCAAATTTGAGTTTGAAAATTTCGGGTCACCAAAAATGACCTTGACCTTTGACCTAAAAATTTACGCTCAACATCAAAGTTGTAAATCTTGCTGAGACGAGTTCAGCCGTACCCGGAAAATTGTTCTACGACCACTAGAAGCTGAGATAATCACGTTTTTTTGTTTTTCCAAAATGTCCCGCAAAACCCGCAATTTTGAAAATTTTCAGTCAAAAATTTAGGAAAGTCGCTTCCAAACTAAGATGGTGAAGTGGTGAAAATCTCATAATGATATCTTCAACTTTGGGCGGGGTATGTGAAAACAGAAAGAATCAGACTATTGTTTATATTTCAAACGTTTAAAAAAACAGCTGTCGTTAACTAGCTATTAAGATCCCGTAATTACAACCTTGGTGTATTTTGTCCTAAAAGCTCCGCCGTGCTCAACTGCCGCAGTGTTGCTCTCTGCAGAATCAGTGAATGGGAAAGAGAGAGAGGGCGGATTCGTTTAATGAGCAGGCTGCTGACACGGAGCGGGTACGTACATTATTATTAGATTATTACCGGGCGCACCCACCAGCCCTCACTACTCACTAACTCTCACACAGAATTTGCTGACTTTCGCGGCACTTAATCATTTGGGCTGCTGACGCTTTTGGAAATGTGCGGTGAGTGGTGGCGAGGGTGGTGTTTCACGCATAGGAAGCAAGGTATAAGTACTCACCGTGGGCCCCTGGAGGAGTCAGCAACCCGCAGAGCACGAGCAGCACACCCGACCACATGGCCGGCCAGCTGAAACACACGGAAAAATATGAAAACCACAGAATTTGCCGAAACGTGATGACGTGTCACGTCTATTATATTTTTTGATAGTTACAAATATTAGCTTATTCAAAAAATTGTTATAGATTTAATATAGATATAATTTATCTCCAATGCTTCCAAAGGTAGTAATCAGCATCTACTGGTAGAGTGTTAAAATACCTTACATTGAAGCACAATATTTATAGTGGAAAATTTAAATCAGAAAATACTGTTTAAATTGTAATTTTTTGACATGATAGTTTAAGTGGTAAAAAATAAGTAGTAAAAAATATATATATAATTAATAATAAATTATATTATTACATTAAAATAAAAAAATTATGATTTTAATGTTTCTAACCTCATAAATGAGTAAAACAAAATAGTTGTAACGTAATAATTTCTTATTTAATTTTGTTTTATGGTTGCAAGTATTAATTTTCTTTTAACAAAGGATCTTTGGCTTTTTGCTCAATTATTTTAGTCCGATTGTGGAGCAAAATTTAAGTAGTTCTCAGAACAGTGCTTCCTTGGGTGTGATAAACTGTAATGTAACAACGTCCAAAAGTTTCTCCGGCTTGAAGACGGAACGAGACCCGCAGCAAAAAGCAGTCCAAGAGAGGCGAGAGACCTTTTAAGCTGTGCGTGTAATCGAAGAAAGCTCCTCTTACATTCTTATCAGAGGCGGTAGGGAGGGTGCTGAATTTGCATGAGGAAATATAACCCAGCGTGTGACACGTCGGAGTGAAATAACCCACTCCGGGAATGCACTCTGCCCTCGGCTTGAGTGCAGCAGCTGCCGGGTTGCAAGTTGGTATTTAGCCTTTGTGCGCTGCTTATCGTTGTCTCTGCGGAAGGCCTTTCGAGTGCATCCGTAATGAGACAGCGAAACAGGCACGCCCGCGCCAGATAATGACGTCGACGATGACTTTTGAATGTGCGGCTTAATTTTGCAAGATAGACAAACGTCGTCTGCTGTTTCGACTTAGCGTCGGTTTGTTTGCTTCGCCTAGGCTAAAACGATGCAAGGATAGATCCCTCCATTTGCAATGCAAATTCGCGGTAAAAGGTCGTGGTTGGCACCGCAAGCAGATTACGGCTGCAAATGATTTCCGCGCGGTTCCCGCGTCACTAATTAACATCGAGTTCATTGAAAAGCAGTGGGCACAGTTTTAAAAGCCTGTTAGTAAACACTGGAAAAGAACCCATCAATTTTAATGGAAAATTAAGTAAATATATAGAAAGATCGTGTTGATTTAACCTTCCAAACTTCACTCAAATTGAAAATGCCAATTATTCAACCGTTGACGCTTCATAAATTTTGATGAGGAAAACATAACTTTTAGTTTAGATATCAAGATAGAATATTTTTAACTTCAAAAATATTTATATCATTCCAAAAAAAAATCAACATTTAATTTGGTTCTTGGATAAATTATTGTACAGTTCCAAATATTGTACAAATCATCATAAGGAAGCTGCATTATCGCCACGCAATTGAAATTTTTGAAGGAAATATTGACACTTTAAAACGCAGGATTCCAACGACTGTACAGGATGATTTTTGTGTTTTTCAGTTAAAATCAGTTTTATGCTAAAATCGATTGCCTTAAAAATGGAAAAATTTGATACTTTTGGCGAGGATAAAAAGCTGGGTTAAAATTGAAACAAACCTGATGCTTTAGCTGGAAATAAAGCTTTAACTGAACTCGGCCGATGCGTGTCGCCATGCTGGACCAGATTTTCTCTTGATTTGCGCCCGAAAACCCTCATTTCAATCGAATTTCGGACAGAAAAGCGACACATGACATACATAAACAAATTGTAAACAATTACTGACTCCGCCCACCTAATTTCCCCCTCATTCAAAGCACAACAGGGGCGTGATTTCCTAGTTCAATGTTTTGCTGCAGGTAGCGCTCCCCGATTAAATTATTTTTTTTTTAATGGCAGAAAAGGAATTTTAATTCTGAATGCAATGACATAATATTTTAGAACTCCAAATATTTATCAGTAATATAAATATAAAATATTTAAGGATTTGCTAATACTTAATTTTTGTAAAAAGAAACTTCTTAAATAAATAATCACTGTGAAATAGTTTTAAGGCAATGAATGAAACTTATTTCGCAGTTGTCATTTTATTTTGGAAAATTTGTTACCGCTGAAAAAAGGAATAAAAATTCAAGTTCACTTGCTAGAACAGAAAATATTTTTGGGAATTTTTTGGCATAGCCAATCGATTCAGCGTGCCAAATTTTGTAAAGTATCAAATTATGGGTGAAAAATCAAACCAGTTGAAAAGTCATTAATTTTCTGCACATTTTAACTACTGTTCTCGGAAAACCTTAACTGCCTATGCAGGAAACATTATGAGTCATGAAAATTGTAATATCCTGTATTTTTGCAACAAACTACAAATTATGCAATCAACTTACGATCATTCAATTTTCTAGTTGAAAATTCCAAATTTGATGTATTAGATGTGATAAGTGATTATTATATCCTCTAAATTTAACAGCAAAAAAGGGAATCAAATTTATTATTTATAAATTCATTCAAAATTGGCTAAAAAAAAGTAAAAAAACGTCATTTTTAACTGTCTTATCATATAAATGTCCAGGAAACTCATTTCTTGCAGTGTTGATAATTCTGAGTAATATCGCGGGCATCTTCATTGCAGAAATAATCGTCAGGGCAAACACAAGAGAAGCAGAAACCAAATATTGCTCTCAAAGCCAGATGTTTCCACGCGAGTGCTCCTGCGAAGAGCACCACTTGACTTCCAAAGCAAAAAATATTAAAAATGTTCACTCTTTTCTGCCCTTTCGCATCAAAGACTCGGCACCAAGTTATTAATATTGCTCTGACGTCCCGCGAAAAGAATTTCGCCGAAATTTCACTCCCTATCTATAACCAGCCGCGCCACTAAATTCAATTTCTGCCACTCTTCTTCTCGTGCCAGCGTAATATATTTATATTTCTGCTTAAGATTTTTCCGACTGCGCCACCTCTGATAAAAAAGCCATTCTTTGGTCTTCCCTGCGCCATTATGGAGTCTCATCGGCAAAAAAGAAGTGCGTTTTCAATATTTGATCTTTCACCCATCTTGCTTCCTCGCGCATTCCAAAGGCTCTTTTCTTTTTTCATTCACTCCCGGAATGAAACTCGGCCGCTCTTTGTACGTCTCCACGCAAATTGCGCTTTGGAAGAAGAAGAGAGATTATGGTCTCTCTTCCTATCTCTTCTTATTTTGCGGCACGACTGACACATTGTTAGGGTGAGTATGAGAAGAGCGAGCACAGCCGGGCAAAACTCTCCACATTGTACTTTCTCTTTCTTCAAAAAGCCAGTCTTCTTTTTCGCTTTGCATGCGAGATCAGCTCTGGAAACGTTTTCAGGTTCCATTAAATTGATTATACAGGAAACGAGAAGTTTCTGATAAAATCAAATAAAGGATTTCTTGGTTAAATAGAGACGGAGAAGAGCTGCTGCATATTAATCGGGAAATCCAACGTACATTTGCATATTTTAAAAGTTTGAGTCGTCTCTAATCTCATTAATCTTCCCAGCAAACCGAGGTGATCTTGAAAAAAGCAAAATTATTGCATATTGCTTCAATGAATTCAACGATTATAAATTTAATCATTACGTAGTTTGTGTGGAAAATAAATTTATATAGTGGTTAGATTTAAAGATAAAATAGTATATAAATTATCGCAACTACCACCTAAGCACATAGATGCTTGTCTTCTTCTTTAAAAGAGATCGTAGGTTTAAATTTACAGGTTACAAATAATTATTATACTTTTTATTTAAGAATGAAAATTATTTATTATTATAGAGACAAATCATAAGTTAACATTCTTAGAAAATATTTGTATTAAATGATTTAAATAAAAACACATTAAATTGAAAAGTTTCATAACATTATAACATATAATTTAAATAAAATTTGATTTAACATAATAACGTTTTTTTTAGTTATCAGCCTAAATTTTCTGATATAAACTATTTGTGTCTTTAAATTTTATTTTGAGGCAAAATTTCTTTTTATCACTATCATTCAAAATTTGTTTGATCTTATATTTGAAGTTGTTTAAGACTTAAGGGGGTGATGAAATACCTCCTTCCATCTATTGATTGAGCAGTTTAAAGATTGGTGTGTCTCTCAGTCAAGAGATTAACGACCTCTGCCACCTTTAATTATCGCGTTCTGCGCTTTGAAGCAAAGGAAGCGGTTCAAATTGCAACAATTATACATGCACGGGCAATTCAGGCAGAGCTTGAAGGAGTCGTTCGCCGACTATCTTTTTGATCTCCGTCCCAGCGCGACTCAATCTTCATCTGTCTTATTTTCTTTTCGCTTTCTCGAGTCGGCAATAACTAGGTCGCTTTAGAGGCGGGCCAATTATCAGCAAGTGAAAATAAGAATTAAATTCCCACACCTGCCTCACTGCTCAGGGGCGACGCAGGAATTTTCTCATTTGAATTCACCCGGCCGGATTAAGGCGCGTGGTTTTATTTCCAGCGTAATATAACCTTTGCTAAAAACGCGGAGGGCACCTGCTGATATTAACCCCCTCTTTCCTCCTACACGTCCCGTCGCCGCGTTATCAAAAGAATGCTAAATTTTCTCCGCCAGTGCCGACGGCTACGGAGCTCGGAGGCGTTTTTTTACTTAATAAAAATGCGCGGCGAGAAGACGGAAAAGAGAACGCTGGATTTTGCCTTGCGTCTCACTTTCGTATTTTCTAGCAGTTGCAAAACCCCGAGTTTATTCTGTTACCACCCGCCTTTCTTCGTTGCAATTTTTACATGGAATTTAGCGCCGACGAAAACCAAAACGAGGCTCGCGGCGTCACTGCGTCGGCTGAATAGTTTCTTATCAACTTTATATGAGAAGCTGATTCTTAAGCACAAGTTCACGCAGGGCGTTCGCTATTATGAATTAGAGGGAAACTTGGGTTGAAGCAAGCGACTTTTTA